GCGCTATGGTGGGTTGTCTCTTAAAAGCTCAATATATGTTAAGAACAGTCTCTAGATCCTTGCTTCTCCAACTGCGTTACCTGGACCACTGGCACCCCTGAGAGCATGTGAGAAATGAAGAATCCCGGTCCCCTCCCCGGTCTCATTAAAGTATGAGAAGCACTTATCAAATTCATCTTCTTAGAATACATCATGCCCTTCCTTTAATATAAAAATTCAGGCTTAGGAAGACTTGGTGACATTTATTAACAGTAATAGAATTAGAACTGAAACTGGATTAAGCCATTCTTACTCCTTTCACCCTGAGCTTCCATTATTTAAGGCCGGACCCAAGGCTACTGTCCCAGGCCTGACTCATGCTCATCCACATAGCCTATGTCAGCCATCATGTGGCCCATACTTTTCATCCAAAGCCTGGTAATCCTTTTTCATAATCACAGCATGACTGCTACCATTTATCAATGTCCATTAGGCTCTTCAGAGGTACTACAAATATATGATCTCATGTCATCTCCCAACCAACTCTATGACACATCCATTATTACAGATGAAAAGGCCTAGCAAGAAGAGTATGTCCGTTTTCTCCACATTCTGCTCCCTGCTGCCTCCACAGTCTGCCCTCTGTCTCCACAGAAGAGACTATTTTCCATGTCTCCTTTTGCAAACTTCCAAGTAGTTACCTTCAAAGTTTACATTTCTCATGAGGTCTTTCAGATCACCTATGCCTAGCTGTCACTGTCTCTGATTATTTGTTCATCTATTTAATACATATTTGAGTGTCAGCCTGGTGCCCCCATAGGTGGCCAGGGCCAGGGCCACCATGTCACATGTGACCCAGTGCTGATTCCCCTCCCAGGAAGCTCAGAGGACCCACTGCAAATGCAGAGGAGAGGGGTACAGAGCATGCTCTGGGGGCCCTGACAAAGGGTGTCTCAGTCACACCAAAGACACCCCTCCCCTGCTCATCTTTCCTCTTTTCTTCCTCCTTAGTGGCACAGGGCTTAACTGTCACTTCTGTCCCTTCATCCTTCAAGCTCCTTGGGTCTGCATAAGGCATTTACCCTTTAAACTTGGATATCATATGGTTGCTGCATCTCCTAAAAGACATACTGTCTTCTTCCTTCCCAACTCTCCCAAAACTGAGAGCAGAGTGTGCATTCTATGTACTGAATGGTGGTAGAGGGGAGGGCTTTTGATAGCTAGATTCCCTCTGTGGTGATTTCCTGCATAACCACAGTTCAGTTTTGGAAAACGATGATTCGTTACTCTGCTCACTCTAATGTGCATTGCTCCTCAATGTGCTTGCCATACTGGGGTTATGGCAAGAGTGCTAGATGGAACGCACCTTATCAGACCCCCATGCTTCAGAGTAGTGGCATGGGGTAAGTTTCCTTGTGAACTTGTTCCTCTAAGTATCTTGGTATTATCTCATCAGACCTTCTAGAACATGTTTTGTACAACAGGTATACTGTGGTGTTCTGTGAATTTGTATTTTAAAGACACAACTCAAAGCACAAACAACTCAAACCACTTATTCAAACTAAGTATTATAGTGGATTAAGGAACATTTTCTCTTTGTAAACCTTGAATTACCTACCAGAATACATCTCCAGTTGAGCCTCTAAGATGTATACTGATAGTTGCATTTTCCTCAGGTGGCTACTGGCACAGAACTAAAAGACTGCAGGTTTGGGACTGCCAGTGAGGAATGTAGCTACTGTCCAGAAGCAAACAGCACTTTGCTTTGTCCCTCTCCTAGTAAGACTCTGAATCTGTTTCAGACATCAGCTGGTAAGGAGCCAGCTTTCGTGAAGGATGTGACTTCTCCTTAGCT